AGATCTTGTAATCTCCATATTTATTGATGGACATAATTTATTATGTCTTGTCTTAGGAATTCTGAATGGAAGTGCTAGACATAATGTTAACTTGCATTGTAGTTATGAGACTACAGTATTACTGATGGCATTCTTACCTCTGTATTCAAAAATAACCTAACTTTGTAGGTACAGTTTTGGAAGCAAATAGTAAATGAGATGGCATCACATATGTCTATTACCTATAAGAAGGATGTTCGTTTATCATCCCTTTGCATTTGCAAATTCTTTCAGATGGATAATTTAATGAAGCACTTTAATCTTAAAACTGCATCCATCCTGTATTGACACTCATGTAAATATTTGGCCATTTAAGTGGTGTTAGGAAGCTATAAACTTCTGAATGATCACTGTGTAGCTGTGGAGTTCAGTATCAGTATGTTAAAAAAGGTTGGAAAAATTGATTTTTCACTGACATCCGACATCTGCTAGGCTTTCAGAACGACAAGGCTGAGGTAAGGAAAGGCCACGAGACACCACATAATTTTCTGCTGCATTGTATTTCCAGAACATACTTCCAATATTGAACTGTAAGTAATGGTGGGGGCCTCATACACTGATGCATATAAATGAACTAAAGCCTGTACTGTGAAATCAATGCTTATAGACTTTGGCCTGTAAAAGTCAGGCATTCACAGTCCCACATCAAAATGTTTTATTAATTTTAAAGTGAACAGACATCTTGTGTCATCTTCGGGTTTTTTTCTTGAATAATAAAAGACTAAGGAAATTACTTTTTTCATTTTTTTTCCCCCCAAGATAGTCATTCCTGTTCTGTTGCATCTTAATCGTAACCAGTATTTCATAAATAGTGTGGGGGTTGCTCACCTTTTTTAAAAAAGGTACATTTTCTAAGTTCTGTGACAGTTTATTTCTAACTCCCTCAATATAAATGACTCTGAATGTATGCCTATCACTGGCAAGCCAGTAGAATTACCGGCTTTGTCTTGCTTCTTATTTAAGCAACTACTAAGGCTTGCAGGAACTAGTAAAACAGAGCAAATTAGATCAAATTAAAATAAACTTGCTTTAATATGGTATAGCTAGTTGGTTAAAATTTCCCTTTCTCTTAGGCGCAGCTGTTTAATTTTTCTCCCTTGCAGCAAGCTTCCTTGATAATAAATGTCTTTTCATCAGCAGCAATTTTTTTCTAACCTTCGTGTCAGTTAGCTGAATTTTGTCCTTCTAATGTTTCATGTTCTTGTAGCTCTTTGGCTCTTCACATTTATTATCAAGTATTAACTTGATGGAGAGGCAGAAAGGCATAAAGTAGCTGTGTTGGGTGTATGAAGATGTTTGGTTTTAGGAGTGCACTTGTTGGGGTTGGGGGTGTTTGAGAGCTTGAAACAGTGTTTACCTGCACTGCAGCTAACCTGAGGTATTCTGGTATTACTTGGTGAAACTTAGAGTTGCCAGAAAATAAAATCAAGGAAACTCTTCATCTGTTTTGGGTTGATAAATAAAACCAGTTTACTTTGTGAGAAAGCTTGAGACAGTGCCAAAGTTAATAAAAAGTTGAGATGAACTTTGCTTGTTATGTTCAAAGACGCTCTCCTTCCAAAAACAGCTTTCCATCAGATACTGCTAGGGTATTGGAAGTCTCCTCGCCATCAGGGAGTCATACATGCTGTAATCTGTGGTCGGTGTCCCTGCATGGGAGCCAAATGTTCAGAGATACCCAAGTCTCTTTTGTCCCAGCTGTCCCTTGTTTCTTTGATGTGGTCTCACCCTGGGGGAGGAGGGAAGGGTGAAAGGCTGGGAATCACCTCGGAGATTTCTAGTCTTTCCCAATAGAGAATATTTTCATTGTTAAGTAATCCACTACTGAGATCTGTTCTAAGTAGTCCTTGGATTCAAAGGAAACTCAAGAGGATGAGGGTCTGTACTGCCCAACTGTAAGAAAGCTTTTGGTAACTTTTCTCCTTTTTATTGTCTAATTATGCCCTTTCCCTTATCTGCTTGTCATGCAGTTTGCCATGATAGCAAGTACTAACTGGTTAGCGGTCATTGCTGCCTTTATTCAAAATGCTAGGTGTTACCATACCAGCTCTTGTTTTCCTCCTGACATTCTCTTTCAGATAAGGCTTGTTGCTTTCTGTCTGTCAGCTGTCTTTACAAATCTTATCACGTCTTTGTGCCACTCTTTGAATGGATGAGAAAATACCTCACTGTAACAAAGTAGATTTGCATGAGGCAACTCTTGTGAAGGGGTTACGGTGGCCAGCTTCCTTCAGTAGTTGGATGTTTTTCTGATCTGCTCAAAGACCGATTGCACAAGAGTTACCTCATGTTGCAAACAAACTTGCAGCAACGTTTCTTCGTCAGTGATGCAAAACTAACAGACTATCCATCTTGGATGAGGCATGACTTTAAAAGATCTTGTCTTAATGAATTGACTCCAGTTCTGGCTCTTAAAATCCAGAACTAATGTAAGATTTCGGAAGAAACTATATATCCTCAAAATAATATATCCCTAAAGGACTGTAATTAAATGGCCAGAATGACTTAGTGTTAAGAGGAAAATCTTCCTGTTTTGTTGGTTTTTTTGTCCACCATTCTGTCTAAGCATCCATTTCTTTCCTAAAATTCTCTTGCTGAAGAGCTTTATACTTCTGTGGACTGGCAAAAAATGTCTACAGCTTGCTTTTCAGTCCTTCATGATATTCATGTTTGTTGGCATTCCTTAAGCAGGAGTTTACTTTCTGATCTTCACTATGATAGTTTCTTTATTTGTTAAAACACAAGGATTTGGAAGTCTTTTTCTAAACTTAATAATTTAGGGCAAGACTTTCAAAGGCACCATCATAGGAAAATTGAGATTTGAGTACTTAGACTCTGTGGCAAATCTCAGAAAAAATGGTTGTCTCGTTGTTTGATGATAATATGCAGACCTACATAGCATAAGGGAGTGATTTTTGGAAAGAGTTTTTGTTGCAGGCTTGTTTGCCGACGCAGCAAATTCATGTCACTTGTGGTTTTGACTGTTAAAATACTCAGCTAGTGTTTGCAGTAATTGTTCCTGTTGTTTCCATACAGCATGGAAACATTCATGTGCAACATTCATGAATTGCTAACTTAAAGCCATATTATATAAAAATAAAGGACTAAAGCAGAAGAGATTCTTTTCTTTAAGAAAAGTTTCCACAGGTATTTCTAATACTTTTTCTTGGTTTCTTAACACTTAAGAGTTTTTTTTTTTTTTTAATTTAATTATGTATCAGAGCTTCTTTGGTGTAAATGGGAATGGCCTTCATTAAAACAAACCAACACCCCCTCAAAACAACCCCTACCACAGTTATTTCTGTAGGCAACTATTTACTTGTTTGTGTTATAGAAGAACCTTGAATTTTGGAACTGTAATTAAGCTTGTATTTGGTCTTGTTATTCTTACATACATTACTAGGTATTCACAATAGATGTTAATAAAATTTGAGAGAAAATATTATCTTTAAGTGACTGTGGGAAATACAGAAAATTAGTGACAGAACTTAACAGTTAATGCAAGTCTGCTTCTTCAAACTCAGTGCTGTTCTTAAGCAAACTGTTAAGTAGTATAGCTTTTTTATTTCTATAAAGAACTGAACAACAAAAACCAAAAACGTAGTGCTAGTAAGATTATAAGAAAGGAGTGAAAGCTGTGCAGACAAGGGGAATCATGTACTGAAGTTAAGTAATGCACTTCATCTGTGGAAAGCCATGGTACAAAACTAAGCAAACGAACACATCCTCGGAAGAGGAGGATCAACTCCAGACAGTTCAAACATCAACAATTGAACAGCAACAAAGTAAATGCAGAAGGATGGAGAAGACTGTTTACCTAAACTCAGTAAATTGAAACCAAATAGAAAATTTCCTATGGAGGTTTTCTACAAACAATGTCTATCTCTCTGTTCTTGGGAATCAAAAAAGCAAATTAAATTTCTGTCCTTGGAGCTGAAACAGACTGTGAGTTCTCCTTTCAAACAGACAAGAGTATACTTTGGTGGAATGGTAGTAGATGGTAGTTTGAAACAGTCCAGAAGGAATGTGCTTCAGGGGAAAAAAATATATTTTAAAATTCAATAAGGACAGTCTTTTTTAAGAAAAAGGTTGCTAAAGGTCTTAGACATTGAGGTGTGTAACAATTGACCTCTACCTAATGTATTCTTCAATAGGGACTTCCAAATTACAAACTTCGGTGCATGAGTGCGGGATGAAACTCTACTACAGAGATTGTACCTCAGGGTTTTGATGTTTTGTTTGGGCTTTTTTTTTTTTTTAAGAATAAGAAATTTGAAATTATTTAGTTAAATTTTATCTTATATTTATCTTGCAAGATAAATATGAAGAAAGGGTTCTGAGCCTTTGAAGAAACTTCTTGGGCTATTGTTAGTTTTGATTTTTTCTAAATATGTTTTAGCAATGTGTAAATACATAATAGTCGTCTTAACTCCAAACACCTCTTAGTACAGACTACTGAAGAGCTACTTGCAATAACAGGTTTTATAACAGAAATGTGGTATGTTCAAAGTGATACCTAGATTGGTGGTACAGTGCTCTTTTAATAAAACTTCTTCCCGATAAAATGGACGTTGAGGTAGCTTTCTTAGAACTGGGGCTTTTCGCAAAGACAAGCAATTTAGCTCAGTATTGTTATTAATTGTATATAAACTACAGAACAGGTGTACACACATTTTTATATGTATATATTTATTTTGCTGACAATTCCTTGCACTGCTTTCTAGTTTTGGCATATTTGGCTCTTCAGAACTGGTGGCATTTGGTTCCATCTTTCTCCAAAGGTGTAAACTGGATTGGGAAACAGTTAATCTATTATGTAATAATCTGCTTAATGAAGTCAATGGATGTCCTAATGTAATTTTTTTTAATAATATCAGTTGTATAAGTTTATTTGAACAATCACTGGTAACCATGAATCTTTGCAATTAGCTTAATCAATGTAACTTTACCTTTTTCTCTAGGCAGAACTAGTGAAAGGAAATCTGCAAAGTGTTGGGCTCACGCTCCGCCTTGTGCAGTCCAAGGAAGAAGACGCAGGGCACGTTGTCATTGAAACTGTGACTCCAAACTCACCTGCTGCAGCTGCTGATCTACAGAGGGGAGACAGACTTCTAGCAATTGGCAGTGAGTAATATGTCAGCTTTCAAAATACGTGTCATCCTGCAAACTGGGAGGGCATGTCTGCATACAGTTCAACTAGGCTGCCTTTCTCTAGAATTAGCTATGCCTGGCACTCACAGTAAAAACTAACATTTATGTATTTATGGCCACTTAAGGCTATCATTCACTCGATTACTTTTCTTGCACGTTTATTTACTCTTTGCTAGGTAAAAGCCAAAAAAAGTTGAATAAACATTTGAATGTAAATATATTTTAACTGCTCTAATAGTGATGCTCTGAGGTTCTCTACTTAGTTTCTTCTAGTGATGTTGTAAAATGTGCTTAGTTTACAAAGAAAGCCATAACATTTTACATCCTAGGCCTGCATACTCAGCTTTGAACCTAAAGGTGCTAAATAGAGTATGGAACAAATTGTATAAACACATTTTTGACTAACAGAGTAATTGGGTGAAATATCGAAATGACCCAAGAAGATCTGCTGAGTATTCAATAGTATTGTATGATTTTGGTATCAGTTTTCATCAGTTCTGATATGTAGAAGCCATATTTGAAGACTGTGGCCAAATTGTAATGGGAGCAGATAAGTGCTGCATTGAGGCAAAAGGTTACCCTTGACTTTTGGGCGGGAGGGTGCTGTGTTTTGGTGTTTTTCTAACAAAGATTCTGTTGAAATCCCTGGGTGTTATGAAGTGGATTGATACTAGTTTATATTCTACAATTTTAAATTAGACCATGTCCAGACACAGCTTGAATACTTCTGTTTTATATGGACCCTGTCACCAACAGAGAGCTAGATCATAATCGTAAACCATAATCAGAAACTGATACTGGAAATCGTACCGCTTTAAACTTGAGCATTGGAGGGGACCTACAGAATATGACATTGGACAGAAGGACATATAAACCATTAACAAGAACAGTGGCTAATCAACTTAGTGGAAGGAGCAGATGAGAACCTGTTTATGATCATTAAGAAATAATGCAATGTTTTCTATTCTACTGCATGTTGTGGGACTAAATAAAACATTATGGAGTAGGAATCGTAAGTAGCTTAGTTCAAAGTTGTTGGGATTTGTATACTGTCCAGGAACTTATACAGACTAAAAAGGAGTAAGAATATCACTGTATATTAATAATATTTTAGAAATAAGTGTAGGTACCACTGATAACATGGAATGTAAATTGAAATCACTCTAGGGTAAAAATGGTAAAAGAAATTCTGTTAGGTTTATATTGTGAATTTGGAGATTATCTCCATCATGTTGTTGGTAGAGAAAGAAATGCAGAAAGAATTGCATCATTATGAACTATATACAGTATCCTGCATATCCCTGCATGTGACAGCACACACATTTCTTCTCCAAGCATTAACCATATAAATAAGAGGTAAAGTAATTTTATATTTGGTTCTACTGAGTCATTAAGATACTATAGAAGAGTTAGGGTGGTAAAATACTCAGGAGATAGAACTTCATACGCTTATGACATGAACTACTTAACCTCCTTGCCAGAACATTCATATTAATTTTTTTTTAAGTTTTTATTGGAGAGGTTTTACAGACCAGAGCTTAACCACTACAGTGAGTTATTGTGATTAGGTACTGTCTAAATCTCCAGTGATTTAAAAGGGTGTTGAGTTGCTTTGAACAGGCAGTTGATGATTGCTCTAGAACAAGGGAAGAGTCGTTGTTACATGATCCCCTGCATGACTTTATTTGAACTGTGTGCTCATTAAGATATTTTAGCTTTCACATAATTTGTTGTATCTTACCATAGGCTGGAGATACTGTGAAATGTCTCTGAAAGTTCTGACGAGGAAGCTGATTCAGTTCACTGTTCAGCCACACTGAGAATGTAGCATCACGCCTATATTTTGTTAATATATTGGAACTATTTTCTTTGTTAGCCTGCTTCTGTTTTAATTATAACTATGTTTAAAGATACTTATCTCTCTTGAACTGTTTGTTAAATGTCTGCTGCTGAAAAGTCCAAACTTAAAATAAGACCAAGGTTAAAAATGAACATTACTATATAAAATTACCGCCTTAACAACAAACAGCAAACTGGACTATTTATGTTAGTATCTTTTCCAGCTCCTGAATCAGTATATTTATGTGAATAAAATGGAAAGGATCCACCTGTTACGTTTCAATTAAGTTCTTCTGTCTTAATTTACTTCCTCTCTCAGTGAGCAACAGTACTATTAACACTATTAATGATATAAACACATTTGTCGAGTATTATTGGCCATTTAGATTGTTATTATAATTAACAATTTTTGTCTTTTTTTAATAGGTGTTAAAATTACATCAACTGTCCAAGTGTTGAAGCTTATTAGACAGGCTGGGGACAGAGTTTTAGTCTTCTATGAAAGGCCTGTTGGGTATAATCAGCATGGTTCGGCACTGCAGGATGGATTTGGACAATTGGAAGACACTGCTTTCTTGACACAGCCAGAAGATGACCAAGCTAGTTTATCAGCTGATGTTGATAACAGAGATTTTGATTCAGAATTTGAGGACTTAGCTTGTGAATCACCTGACCAAAAAGAAGATCTGCCAACAACTCCGAGTCCCAAACGTTCAGTAGTAATACTTGCTGCTAAACCACTTGGAACTATATCTCCGATTCTGAATCGAAAACTACATTTAGGTAGTTATCAGGCAACATCAAAAACACAACAGAAGGATGGAGCTAAAGTGGCAACACCCAAAACTATTGAGGGTTCAGATGCATCACAGCAATCAGGTAAACAATTGCAAGGATCCAGCACTAAGCCTCCTGTGCCACCTAGGCCACAAAGTAAGCCTCTCTTGCCTACTAGTGAAACTCAAAATCTGTTAGAAACTGGAGGGGTATCTTCTGAAAAAGCAGAGAGGCCACCTCCACCTACAAATAATGGAGATAAATGTACAGAGAAGGCAGTGAAGAATAACGATCAAATAGAAGACCCAATGGTACCAAAAGTAATAACAGCACCAAAACAAGATACGTCAAAAGATGGACTTTCTGAAAATGCACGTAGTTACAAAGATAGTGGAGATGATCATCAAACATGGGAATCACCAGAAATTCCTTATAAAATCCGGCAAGGCCGATGGCCAAGGACGAGAACATCCTCCTGTATATTTGAAGTAGAAGGATACCATAAGTACCTTAATGTTGCACTGTGGTGCAGAGACCCTTTCAAAGCAGGTGGTTTTATCTGCTTAGGATATGCAAGCATAAAACTTGAAGAAATTGCTTTAGATTGTATAGCTACATCTTCAATGGAATATATGAGAACATTTAAACTGGATGCTCCTACCCCCAAAGCGGCAGTCACCAGAACAGCATTGCGGAATTTGACAACCCATAAGGGATTCAATGAAAAATTTTGTTATGGCGATGTAACTTTACACTTCAAATATTTAAAAGAAGGTGAAATAGATGATTCAAACTTTCTCCTGGAGAAAGAAAGGGAATGTCACTTGGAAGAAGAAGCTCGTGCACTTCAGAAAGAGGATCCTTATTTGGGACAAATTGTTCTTACGGAGAACAAGCATAACTTTCAAGATACTCAGTTTCAGAATCCAACTTGGTGTGATTACTGCAAAAAGAAAGTATGGACTAAAGCGGCTTCCCAGTGCATGCTCTGTGCTTACGTTTGCCATAAAAAATGTCAAGAAAAATGTCTAACTGAGACACCCTTTTGTGTGGGAGCTGAAAAGCGACTTGATCGAACTGTGGGAGGTTGTAGAGCAGAAGGACAGGAAGCTCCCCAAGCTGCATCCTCTCGTGTTGATTCGGAATCTAAATCTGTTAACAGAACTACAGGTTTGACCAGGCATATCATCAATACAAGCACCCGGTTGTTAAACCTTCGGCAAGTCCCCAAAGCTCGCCTTTCTGAGCCAGGAACAGAGGTGGTAGAACCTTCGCCAAAGCACACACCAAACACTTCTGATAATGAAAGCAGTGATACTGAAATCAGTGGGCCAAGCAGTCCTTCAAAACGTGCAGCAGGTACTGGGATAAAGTTGGTCCGAAAGGAGGGTGGTCTAGATGACAGCGTCTTCATTGCTGTTAAAGAAATCGGACGTGATCTCTACAGAAGTTTACCCACAGAGGAGCGTTTTCAGAAATTAGAATTTATGTTGGATAAACTGCAGAATGAAATAGACCAGGAGCTGGAAAATAATAATTCACTCGTTAAAGAAGAAAAAGAGACAACCGACGCAAGGAAAAAAGCCTTGATATCTGCTGCCCTGGCTAAGTCAGGTGAAAGACTGCAGGCCCTTACGCTGCTGATGATCCACTACAGAGCAGGCATTGAGGATATAGAGTCTTTGGAGAACATGTCATTAGAGCGGCAGTCCAAAAGAGTGACTAAAGATTCAGAGGAACCCCATATGGCAGAAGAAATGGATAATGAAGATGTCAGTCTGACGGAAGCGCCAACATTCAACATCATATCAGAAGAACCAGTTGATCCACCTCAATCAGTAGACTGATATTTACATATTTAGGCTTTGAAGGAATGGACTAAAAGAATACTTTGCACTTAATTACACACACACACAAATTAAATTAAAACACTGGTATAATGTCCTGCTTCTGCACAGTTATTTGCCTGTGTAAGAGTACAGCTAATAATGGTTCTTCTCCAGCTACAGCACCATCATTTTGTTAAACTGGCTGGTTAAAACTACATTTTGAGGTTTATATTGGAAATTTATTTTTAATAACTTATTTTTATTTTTTCTAATTATGTAACCTTACCATTTCACATTACTGTATGTGGTGTCCTTAACGCATTACTTTCCCCCTCCACCTCCCCTTTTTTTTCTTTGAGCTAGTGTTTTCAACAGGAAACTGGCAGGATTTTCAAAATGTTTAGTTTCCATTGTATGATGAAAAAATTATAAGCTTGTTGCATGCCTAAGCTGATGACTGACACAGAAGTCACTGAGGGACCAGGCTTTAAAATGTTGATTACAGTTATTGTCTGTCTTCTAGGTAGTTGTGTATTTTTTGCCAAACATATCATGAAAGCAAACAAAAGGTCTTTCATTTTGTCTGTTATTAATATTTACTGAAGTTAACATGGCATATCATTTGTTTCCCATATTTTTGTTAAATACAAAAACTTTTCATAGTTTGTAATTAACATGAAATACAGTAATGCTATGCTAAAAAAAAGTCCTCCTTGGAACTTCTGGCTATTGTATCCTGGTTGAATAATGCTGCATATCAAACTACATACCAGTATCTAATAGTAATTACATTGGGAATATTTTTGAGATAAGAGGCTGGGTGCCTTCCAGAACAAAATTATATAATTAAGTGTTGTTATATTATCCGATAACCTGATAAAGGAAAATTGTTCTTAAGAGTTGGAGGTTTCATTGCATTCTATGAAAAAGCATGTAACAATGGTTTAAGCAATTCTAAAAAAAAAAAAAATATTTTGCAGACTTTATCTTATCATTTCAGAAAGCTTAAGGTACAGAATACTTTACAGAACAGCTAAATGTGTTCTTTCTCAACACTTTTGAGTAATCGTATAGTGGTAAGTTGCATTCAGCTTCTCAGACAGAAGAAACAGTCTGAACAGAAGGATCACTTTTGTCAGAAGAATGCCCTATACTGTATATAACATGTTTTATTTGAGTCAAAACGAGTCCAGTAGAGATGAGGAGGAATTTCAGCCAGCAGCTTTTGAAAAGAACTCTCTGGTCTTGTGCTACGTGTAAACCGTGGATCTTAGCATCGCCTGGCTAAGGCTGTTGTTCTTATTTATTTCCTGTAAACATGTCTTTGTTTCATCTTATGTGTATAGAAATGCCGTATAAAATATCATCTTTATTTTAGGTACTGTGTTAGGTACTGGTATCATTATCACTGGTAGCAGGAAAAAAAAAAAGAAGCCTTTGTGGAAATGGAGTTGAATCTAAGATGGAAAGCAATGCATTTAAGTTTTCAGGCCGTCTGTAATGTACCTCTCAATTAGATTTGCTTTTTGGTTTACTTTGTGATGGGCAAAATTAAGAAGCAATGGTTTTCACAGATGGAAAAGCGTACTTGTACTTCTAAACAAAATGGTTACTTCCACGCATGCAACTACTTGCACTTTTTTGTGAGTTCTGGGCAGTTGATACTTATTTAGTTGATGTATGGAAAACACTATCCATGCTAAAACAGGCATGTGACACACTTTGGAAATTAAGCTTCAGCAGATAATCGCACAAAATTAGCTTCCCTTATTGACTAAAAGTTATTTAACCTATACTTGCTTGAGATGCGTATTAAGACTTCCCCACTCCATTTTCTCAGCGGCTTACCATTGGTGGTGATCTGCTTTCAATCTCCATCAGGGTTTGCTCTTACGGACTACTGTAGAGGTTTTCAAATATATCCAAGTACTTCACTTAAACCCTGGTACACATGAAGGAGCTGTGAAAACAATGCAAAGACCGATTTAAAAAATGCATTCAAGGTTTGAAATTGACTTGTGTAATACAGTGGGTAAGAAAAGCTGGATATAGTTTTCCTCGTATAGTATTGCTAATGATGACTGTAAGAGATAAATTAAATGTAGTGCAATATTTTTAAATATACTGAATGGGAAAAGGGCAAAATAGTTGTATTTTAGTGATAAGAAGGAAAACAAATTCCTATCTGACATTAATTACAATAAACGGTGAATCTCAAGGGGAAAACTGTAATACTACATTCCTGATGTAATCTTTGCTTCATGCTTGACTGTAAATAGCTGAAAATAAAGAATACCACAGAAAACAAGAATATCTGGACTTAATGGTATCTGAATAGGTGGCAGCTACACACATTTGCAGATCTGCCTAATATGATTTTGTTGGCTATTATTTTATCATGAGAATAAGCTTTAATAAAATAGTTTTGCTAAATTATCAACTTCTTTGCATTGTGTTAGTATTTTTTAAACATTTGCATTGCAGTAGTTTATAATCTAGAGCCACTACTTAAAGAAAAGATCTTTGGGAGAAAACCACAAATTTTGCATTAAATAAAATTGGATTAATTGGGCTTTTATGTAATTTTCTATTTGGAGATGCGTTTATTTTTATTCTACATAGTTTTATAGCAGTTGTAGATTTCTTTCAAATGGGTGATTCCAGTTGATTCTTTGTGTAGCTGGATAATCTTACAAAATGCTAAGGATGTTTGTGGTTTGGCTTTTTTTTTTTTAAGACCTCCAAGCACTGTTCACATAATATTGCCATTCAATTATTGGTGATAATGGCCACGGCTGGAGTTACATTAGGGGAAAATCGTCCAAGAAAAATTACTCTGACCTGCCCTGCCCTTCAGAAAATGTTAATGGATACCAAACAAATCCCTACTGGTTTGCTGGCTCATTTTATCTCATCAGTTTTTCCTTATAATTCCTTATTCTTGGGGGGTTTTCCCTCAGATTTGAAATAAAACATGCATGGAAGTTTACAGCTACAGGGGAGGACTAAGCCGTAGGAGCAAGTTAACTAAGTGGCTTCAGCACACTTAGTGACACAGATAAAAATACACAAAATATGAAGGAACCCCAATTTTTTTTTGTGCATTTTCTGTGATTAAAACTACTTCCTGACTGTCAGCAAAAAGGGTTTAGATTTTCTGTGCCGTGGAGGAACAACTGCTAGATGTATCTTTCTGGGGGTTTTTTGGGGGGGGTGAAGGGAGGAAAGGTGGCGTAGAGAGCCCAAGCACAGGTGCCTGCATGGCACTTAGCTCGGTCCTCCCCTGCCTTCTGGTGGTCCAGGAGCGGAGCCAGAGCCCCAGGAGCCAGGCTGAGCGCTGTGGCTCTGCTGTGCGAACCAGAGGGAGATGCTGGTCTGTAAGGCCCCAGCAGAAACCCAGCTCCATCTGCAGAAGAGGAATGTGATCGATTAATTCATCTGTCCTTGGGCCTCCTTCTCATACTCATTTTGCGTTGCATTGGACGTGAACTCTTCCTTAAATTTGATCTGCTCAAAAGTACAAAGCCAAGCCATGAAGTAAGCCATTTTGTGCCCCCCCACTTTTTTTTTTTAATGTATAAGTTGCTATGTTTCCATTACTCTTACACTTGTGAATTTAAGCAATGCCTTGGTTAATCACCTGGCAAATAAATGAGCATGTTATTTGATAATTTAGAATTCTGACATTGGTATGTTATTTTCAAATTTAATTGGATTAATAATTTGATGTTGACCAAAAGAGTTGAGTGAAGTTAAGTAAAATAACTGCTCTTGGGGCAAAGTTTCAAGTATCCAAATGATCTACAACATTAAAATGTGAACCTAATGTAGATAATCATAGATATGCACAACCGTCACTTACTCCGTGGCAGTGAAGTACTTGACATACTGCAGGATCTTGGGTTTTGCTGTGTTACTGTCGGTCCCCGGATGCCTCTTGGCTTTGAAGGAAGGATTTCCATCTGTTATATATTCAAAAGAACGCAACAGAAAAGAGACCACTATACAGTCTGTAAGTGGATTTTCCCAGTCAACCGTAGGATGATACTGCTTGGTGTTTCACATCGCTCAAGCCAATCTTACAATGTTTCCTCTTTGCCCTTACTTAAAACACCCCGTCCTGACAGCATATACCAGCGTGGGGCCTGGTACTGCACCTTTTGGCCTTCTCTGATATGTCCCCAAAATTAAATCTCAGACCAGCAGCCACATAACTGCCTGGTTTTGGAAGCATCGCGGTTACCTAAACAAGTTGTATTTATTTATGGTCTGCAGTGAAAATTGTCTTCAATTACAAATGGACTGGAACTGAGAAATGCATTCCCATGACCTGAAATGCTTGTTGAGTTTTTCCCCCCTAGCATACAGTAAACCACAATGCATAAGGCAAATCATGAGGGGGATTCTTTATTATTATTATTTTACCTTATTACAATAGATCATGGACTTCTTCTAGACAACTTTATTTTAATGCGGTCTGAATGCATAATTATTGACAAAGCAGTACTTGAAGTTTGATCCACTATATTTTCCGTATTTTCTGACCATAGTATATACACTTTACAAAACTATATGTAAACATAGTATCTATGCTGTAGTACATAAAACATCTGCAGTTGCATGAAAGAAGGCACATAAAGATTTTAATTGTACAAATGAAAAGATACACCGTGGTTGATAAGGACATTGGGATTGTTTTAAACCGCTTTCTTTAAAAGCCTGATTTTTCTCAGTGCAGGTAAGGGCTGCCTAGTACAGTGCTTTTCCTGTACGAGACTGTGCCCCCAGATGTTAAGAGATCTTGGCAACAAACCGGTCTTTTTCTTTTTTCCATTATTGTTCGCAAAGTGCATATTTTAGCATAATTTTTGAAAAAAAAAATATTCAATTTCTAGATGCATATGTAAATGCACGTAAAGCCAGGGGCTTTTGTTTGAACTGCTTAAGTTATCGGCTTACTTTCAGTACGTGCGAAGACTAAATACTGTCATACTGCAGCTTTTCTTAACCAGTCAAGATGCACCTAAAAGAAAGCCGAGATGCGTTAAAAATAAAAGGTTCAAAAGCCAGGTCTATAAGAAGTATCTTCATGTTGGTTCTATTCCCTCTAAGGGCAAGGAGCAGTGCACATCCACACCTGCTTGTTCACCTGGTGTTCTGTGGCTGTTTGCGTGCTTTGTGTTCCGCAGCTGGCTGGCTAATGAGCACGTCGTTAAATAGTGCTAACTAACAGCAGTACACTCATCTGTCCAAAATACTGCTTTTCCCACCATTCCGTGAGTGGTTCAGGTAGAGCTCATTTCTGAAATTGGCAAAGAAGTGGTGCCTTTTATTTTACTAATGCGTGATCTAAAGTTGATCAAAAAAAGTCATAGCCGCATCTACAGTCTGAATTCCAGCCTTCAGCTCCTCCCAATGTACTTACAAGGGTTACAGTTTAAAAGGATGTAAATCAGATGGGTTTTCTTTGAGCTTTGCTTTTTTTAATCCTTCCAATGAGGTAAGGCAGACCCAAGCTCTAGCGAGTAAGTTACGGCTCCAAACAAAACATGAAACATTGTGTGTTGATGTGTTGACTTGAAAAAGCAAATAGTTAAAATTCACATGTTTATACAGATTTATACTACACATTTAATCAAAAATATAGTGTAATATTCAAGAAAATTAAATACACAAAATAAAGATTAACACTATACAAATCCTCTGTAAAAGCTGGTCCCCCCCTTATAAGGCGGTTAGCAGTCTGCTTGATAACCATGGGCAATGAAGAGTACACCTTTGCTTTTTTGACCATTTCACTATTAAATGTACAGTGCAACTGAAACCTATTTCTGGATGAGATGTTTCGCATGAAACACTGCATTTTGTACACTGAAATACATTATATGGCTTTTCATGTTATTCATCGCTTTCATACTCCTCCTCTTCATCCCCTATGGGGTAGGACTGGATGTTGTTCTGGGTATACATTTTTGTTTTCACAGGACAGTTGTGATCCATGAGTATCGCCTGGAAGAAAACAGAGCATGCACATCAGCGTTGCTGACCCCCCCCCCCCGGCAGCCCTCCAGCTGCAGCCGCCCGGGGGGTTCACCCCTCCTCCCTTAAAGCGGAACCCAAACTGCTTTCAGTTAAGGGTAAATCAAGTCCATAGGTCTGTGTGATGGGGAGCTTGGCCCTAAAGGCAGCACCAGCCAATTTCTGTTACCTCTCTGGAACCAGTAGTTCAGCCCATGTAGTATATCGCAATACCTCCACCTGCTCTCCAGTTGCAGTAACTTACCTCTCCTATATGTAATCTCCATCTGTTAAAAGCTGGATGAAGGAACAAGAGGAGCCGTACTGCCCCAAACCAAGCCTCCTGTACCAGCTTTGCTTTTCCCACCCCGTGCCGTGGAGCTCCAGAACTGCATAACCGGGCTCTGCGGAGCGACGTTACCCCTGTGCCAAGCTAAAAGCGATCATCGTAGTTAGGGGCCAGCCACAGGGTTACATCCTTCAGGATGAATTTTTCCTAGGACAATCCAAGTATTGAGAGCAGTTGTGTAGTGAATCTCATGGTGAGTGGGATTGTTTGGGTTTTAATTAGTTATGCAAAGGGCACAAAGTAGGGACCCTCCTTTCGACTCTTCAATACCAAAAAACCCAGCACGTCACTTCACTGACACAAGCCACAGTGGGGGGACAGGAGGCCCTTTGCATTTAAAGGTATGGTGGCGGGGCAGACACCGGAAGGTGTTTAAGCTGTGGGGAGAGATCCTGTCCCTCCAGCGATTGCCATGTTACACCTGAAGCCCTGTCAGTGACCAGGGAAGCATACGATAAACTTCTGATCTCTGCCAGACAACAGCCAGCAGGCTTTTGCTTTTTTTTTTTTCCCTTTCTGTTCCCCAGCCTTAGTGTGTAAAAAAGCCCCAGCACAGTCTGCAAAGGTCATGACAAGGGATTAACTGGAATATCTGGGATTCTGATGTCCAAATATGTGCAAAATGAAAGGTCTCTGGCCTCACGTACACCACTATTTCAGCAAGATTCATTTTTCCACCTTCTGTTCTGTTCATGCCAGTTCAAAGCGTGAGCAGCATACGCAGCAGGTTCTGTTCTTACCTTGCAGAGATGCAGCACTGCACAGGAAGACCATGGCCATACAAAATTACATTTTCTTTTCACCCAAATAAACAATTAGCAATGACATTTTATGCCCAAGACAACCTTGTTCAGCATGAGCAAGGATGAAGTGCTGGGTGGGCTAGACCTACAGCTGGTGACAGATGTTGCAGCAAAGATTGGGCCTTGCTTTCCAGGACTTTCCCAGCCCTGGAATCACAAAAGGGATTGCACTGCCTGTAATTCCTTTGGGAGCTTCCCATCGTCTTGATGAGCAGAGGAAACCTAATGCACACAGCAACGGATCCCCTCCTGCAGTAAGAGGGGTTTTGAACCTGAGCCAGTACACATCTATAGCAACAGTGAGTCTTGCAACAGGAGAGTGGGGGAGCAGAAAAAGGACATTATATGAAAGGGCAAACTGAGGTACAGAAATGGGAAATGAAGGGAGAAGGGAGAACGGTATAGGAGGGGAAGTGAAGGAGAAGGACTACCAAAAGCAAAGCAGGAATTTTGGGGGGGGGGGGGGGGGGGGAGCGGGCAGAGCAGAATGTGGCAGTCTAGGCTAACAGTGAGCACTAGGAGGGAAGGAGGGAAACATTCCTGCGGGCAAATTCGTGGGTGTCCTGGGGCAGAACCCATGGAATAAGCAGAGGAGCTCCTCACTCCAGCTACTGTGGAAAGTAGACTTTTACAAGGACTCAGAGAACAAATGTGAATGTTAATGGGGAAAACAGTCTGTAAAAGACTGTTAATTGCAGTCACGCTGGACTTGGGTCTTTTAGCCCCTCATTTTAGGGATGTGTCAGAACACATTCGCTTGCGCCAAGACTTGTCCCTAGACACCCACCGTGGGTCACAGGGGACAGGCTGATTTGGCCGGGCATCATTCTTCTTACCCACCACAGAGTGGCTGGGGAGCACTGACTGCTCTGTAAAATTAAGTTACATTAGAAAAGAAAGAGTCAGAGTAAGCCTGTGGTGGATACAGGATAAGAGAAGCCGTTGCTTTGCAAGGGCAGGTGATCTGAACGGAGGAACAAGGACGATGAAAAAATATGCAATATATACTGTAGAAGACCATGAAGAAACCAGGCACGCAAAGGAATGGTATGCATTAAGTGAGTACTTGGTCAATACATTTCTGGCACTTAGGGGAAAACAAAAATACCTTTTATACTGACTCCACCACAGCATGTGCTCTTGCAGATGAATGTCTGCTGGACCCTCTTTTGTGATAGTCAGATGTGTGACTTTGAAACATGTAACTAACAGAAAGCCTTTATTTACACATCTTGGACATACAAAGAAGGGGGAGATCATTCCAAAGGTGAATGCATGAGGGTGAAATAAAATGTGCTGGTCCTGTTTTGGGGAAGTTAGAGGCAAAGATGCAGAAATAAGTTCTTGTTGGCTTCCTTTACAAAAAAAAAAAAAAGCCAAAATCAAAAGAAAGCAAGCACGTTATGCTTACCATTTTCTCCTCTTTGGCAGGTGGACTTCGAAGGAAAAAGCACAGAGGAGCGAAGAGGATATCCACAATCCCTATAATTGTCATGAGCCATGGAAATCCAATGGCCTTTGCAATGGCACCACCAGCAGACGGACCTTGTATAAATAAAAACCTTTTTCTGAATACTGCTCAGACATAAAATTTGCAGCAGTCACTTTAAACAACAGTAATTTTATATACAAAACTCCCACTTTGCAAATTGATTTGAGGAATGTAAATGCATGTTTGTAATTACAACATAAACCTTTTCTGGCTCCATAATCCACATTCACTGAAGAAATCAGAGATGCTCCTAGGGGCTCCCGGGGCACCTGTATCAAGCACTCAAGGAGGCAGGGGTTCAGTGGGGAGTTATTCTCCTCGCAAACTATTAGGAGCACAGCTGTGCTCTTACTTTTAAGTGTGGCAAGACGTATTTCCTAGGGATATCGTATTTGCATTCAGTGCCTGCTGCCTTCAAGCCTCTTACAGGTAATGAAGCTGAGCACGGCATCGCAGCAGAGGAGGGAAACAGGCCAAACACAGTTCCGCGCGTCCTTTCCCTCTGCTTCTGATTTCTGGTAAAAATAACCAACCCCACTCATAAAGCCTACGAGTGCCACCGGGATTCACACCTACCATCGCAGCGTATTTCTCTTAATCGTCAGGCATTATAGGCAGGGAAAGGCCGGACTTACCTATGGCAAAGCCCATGCAAAAGGCAACATCTGCTATTGCGTACACGCTGCCATAGACTGACACATGACGCAGATCTACGAGGTAGCCCATAATTGGCATCATGGACGAGTCCACCATTCCTGGTCATGAGGGAGGGAAACACATTTCAGGAAAAGTCTGCTTTTTTTTTTTTTAAAAAAAATTCTAATGTCTTAGCAAACTGTGCTAAAAAGGGATACAAAAGTAACTAAAAGGATGCTGATTCTTAAGTAAGCAAAAGATTTGTGTTAAAATAGACTGTATTATCCATGCTTATTAAGGTCTTTACTGTGTCTGAGGTCACATATGGACATGTATAGATGTGTACATGTGACACTTGCCAGAGGAAAAGAGAGATGCAAGCTTAGAGCGTGTCAACCGCTTCCCAGTAACTGTCCATGCAACAGCTCCTATCTCACATTACCAGCCAAACACCTTCCATTAAGGGAAAATTATTTTGTATGAACTTGTGCTTACTGTAGACCTAAAAGGGTGCATTAGCCTCCAGTCAATCAAAAGTATTACAGTGATTTTAACAGGTCTGTTGAGCCACACTTTCACTGCTAGCAAGAAACAGCCCAAGACAGCTGACAAAACTGCAGAGATACTGGAGATTTGTAGTTGTACCTGAAACTTCTTTCCTAACTACACATCCCTCATGGGTGAAGATGCCCCAGAACATTTGCTGACCAGCCAAGCACTAAAATCCAAGCCATGGTCCCCACTCTGGCTTGACCGCATGGTCCAGCACAAGCAAAGTTCACACATATCACTTGAAAAAGGGTACATGTGTGTGTGTGGGCTTGGGCACTCCTATCGATGAACAAAAAATTCAGCCTGTTTTTTCTTTTTTCTGTGAACAACAGGGAAGACTGGGGTTTGGGCAGTGCATTGCTTTATTCCTGAAAACAAGGTATAAATTCATGGACAGTTTGAAAGGTCTGTTTAGGTTGATGGAGCAATTCTGGACAGACTTCAGAATCCAACTTGTTTAAGAGCAGCCCAGTTCAAACTGCCTGAGCACTGTCTTTTAATCCTTCTTGCTCTACTCACCAGCCTGGGCACAGCTTAGGCTTCACTACTGTCAAATCAGAACAGCAACAAAACTAATTTTCCACGTAACTTCATAAAAAATAATTTTTATAACAAACAGACTGGAAGAAGTCACTGAAATTTTCCTTACCAATGGCAAATCCAACTCCAAAATTTGGTGCTATGAGCCCATAAATATTTTTAGCAAACGGTACCTATAAATGAAATTTCAGGCAGTTAATTAAGTCACACTGCACATGTTAATGAGGTTAGTTTTCTTTTTCTAAGATAAATTCTCAGAGTAGTTACTGGCACGCTTGGTGCAGATGTGCAAGTTGGAGTTTGGTCCTTGCTCTGGGCTACTGTTTCAGAAAACTGTGCCATTAAACCACTGAAACACTTACTGTTACGAGCAACTGCTGAGTGACGGCTCAAAAAAAGGATCATCCTCCTCCTTTCAGAGCCAGCCCTCCTTCAAAACAATTGAAGCACTGAAATTTGAAAGCACTCTAAACTCTGATCTGGGACCTATTAACTACACATTGTTTAATGATGTATCATAAAGCAGAAACTTCAACAAAATCTCATGGGGAAAGCACATACTTGAAGATGCACACACAAACATTTAGATGGTTTGAAAGATATGAGATCTTCTACTTACGCATAAAATACTTATTCCCACGATTAGCATCCCGAGTAAAGCACAAAGCCACCTATCAAAGAGGAAACATCACTCAGAGATCGGTGATACCGAGATGTAAGAGCCAATCTTACACATTTCAAAGTCATGTCTGAAGTGCCGAGTTACACAACCAAAGTAGCAACATGTCCAAAAAGCGGTTTTGCTACTATAGAACAAACTTTCATAATTTCCACTATCAATAAACTGCCCTGGGAAACACTGGAAATGGTACATGAACAGACTGCAATATCATTGGTATTTTTAAATTAAGCATACCTTCCCATTTTGTGTGCAAGTATCCCAAAAAGATTAGTCCCAATGAGATAAGAGACACTAGCTGGAAGAAAAGCAACACCTGAAAAATATGAATGAGATGTTTTATCAGCAAGGATTTTAGTGAAGTGTTAGGAGAAACTAATAAATTCCAGACAGTGCAATTTTGATCTGAACACATCTAAGAGTCTTTGTGCATAGCCCAAAAAATCAAATATCCGTTTTGTTGCAGCCTTCTCGTGAAATCTAAGGACATCATCTATGAGGCGCAGGAGTGATGTGATGCCTTTGAAAAGAGTTTTTCAGCATCGGCTACAAGAACTGGTATGGGAGAGGGGATGGAACAACAAAGAGCCAGAAGCTTATATCTAACTCAAATAAGCTTTGGGATGGGTCAAGAAAAGCAACTCTTTCGTGGTTGCATGGCTTATGGAGCATATGCTCAGCACATGCAGCAAGCCCAGAACTGTCAGGGGTGGGCGAATCCCTCCCTGGAGGGTTGCTGCTGTGGCTGCAGGGCCCTCCATGCCTGCGAGCGCTGCGAGGCCTCGCATTACAGGAGAGTCTGTAATGCCACAATATGGTCCTTGGTCAAGCAGCAACTGAAGCCAAGCATATATCAATAATGCAAAGATGAAGAAACCTTAAAATGGTGGTGTTGAAATTATTTAGCCAATATATTTACAGTAAAAGTTAGTTTTCTAAAAAAAAATAAATAAATCAGGTATTGGTTTAAATTTAAAAAACTAATACTCTGTAATGACTTGCAGATGAGGGCACCCAAGTAAATCCCTTCTGACCCTGATGGGAGGGTACCTGGACCCTCCCATCATCCCCACATCCACTTGGAAAAACATATGTTGGGACCAGCAACTTTTTCTAGTCCTGAGGTTTCCACAGCAGCGGCTCTAGCTGGAGAAGTTGCTGGCTGCATGGTGGCCAGGAATATCCCTGGTTTAAAAGCCAGTTACAGTCTGTACTTGTGGATTCATCCTCTCCCTGCACGTAAGCTGCAGGGCAGGAGCCTGCGGGGAAATGTCAAAGGCAGAAATGCTAACGGAGAGCACGGTGTGCCATTGCCTCGGCTGCCGGGAGAGCACCCGGGGGCACGATGCAGGGCTGCGAGAGAGCTAGGACTGCCTTTGAGGAGAAGACATTGTATGAAAAATATCCGAGAGGCAGGGGAAGGGAACGGCTGTGCTTAATGCTGGATCCTCATGGCATGGAGTTGAATGGGTCTTGGAAGAAATAAGACACAGTATTTTTCTGTTGTTCCTGTTATATGTTGCATCTTCTTAAGAAAAAAGGAACTGGAAAACCTGACAGAACCAGGAAAGTCTGACAAATTAGCACATGCTACCACAAGCCTTCCATTTGGTCATTGTTAAATTGAATAATTCAGATTTAGAAAGGAGCCGTGACATTATGGTACACAGTCAGTCCATTTCCTTTAAGTGTACATGCTCCTCATCTTTCACCAAGGCAACAAAGATTTTCTCATTTCCTGCCTATCCATCTTCCTTCCTATCTCGCTGATATTCATAAGAAAAAAAAAATAGAGGTAATTTTTAGCCCTGCAATATCCTGTGATTAAAATCCTTGTGGGTTACAATGGTGATGCTGGGGAAACATTTTCACCTGTATAACCGCAGCTGCTTCGGTACAGCTTGGAGCTATCTTTTTATACCAAATGGTCACTTATAGCAGACCTTGACAACTGTAAAAAAAAAAATAAATACTGCAAAGGCTTGTTAAGTAAGACTTGCAGGTTGGCATGTAAGCTGTGGTATACTGAAGCAGAACCATAATATTCTACATAAGCTTTATGCACAGTAACATTAATTGATCAAATCAAGGTTTTTATACTTCTTCAGATCATGCTTTAAACAGCTGGATCTCCAAATTGCATAAGATTAATAATTTGCTTAAAATCCTGCAGTTCAAGATACAATTTAAGAGGCTTAAAAACTTTAATTAATGCTGTCAAATCAGACAACACGTAATGGAGTCAATTACTTATATCATAAAGGGGTAAAATTAGTCTTAATTTAAAATGGATACTTCCCTTCTAGGAACGGCTATTCAGCCAAGAGATCTGTAAACCTCATTTCCGTTGCACCGGTGATATGGAACTCTAGTGAGGGAGGTAGATAAGCAATCTTTCTTTTTCTTTGCGAGGTTTAAAATATCTGCGTTGGTGCGCTAGGTCTGCTACATTAGAGGCCAGCAGTCGTTACCATGTCCAGCAGCACATTAAGCACTGCTAGCTGTGGCCACCCTGGATCTGGGTTTGCATTAGTAAGAAGTAGGGTTTGTGCTTTCTCTATGGCATGGGAACACCTACATTAAGACAGAGTATTACAGATATTAGTTGAATGCTAGCTGAACACCATTTTCATGAAGAATTTTCTTTTTCTTTCAAATGCCATATATTGATACTAAAAAAATACCCTAATGAAATGACATGACACAGAACACTAGTTAACATTATCAAATATAAGTTGTGCTTGTAAGGGCAACTTTTTCCTACAGACTATTAAAACAGCAAACATCAGTCAGATCAATACAGAGGACCAGCACTACATGTTGCGATACGTGACAGCCAGGCACCCTCCACCCAAGACGATGCACATCAACCTCCTGCACACAGCTCAACACTCACTGGAATTCAGTCCAGTTTTCTTTCTTTTTTTTCCCTTGTTCATCTCAAAGAGAAAGTAACTGCCCCAGTTTTACTCTCTAGTCTAGCCTGATACATGGGACAGATTCCCAGTTTGCCTGTGGACACTGGTTTCCCAGGACTGTGTTACAGGTTATAAGGTGGTCCAAGTTGGGGGTCTCCCATTGCTTTCTGTTGAAAGGGATGACTAAGTAACCACCGAAAGGGTGTCAGATCTATCACATTCAAGGGGAAATGCTCCTCGTGTCCTTGGTGGCTACCTTTTCAGTAAAGTCCATCCCTCTTCCACACATTGCCAGGAGTAGCCCTGGGAGGAGCACGTGTTGGCATGGGCATGCTCTGCACCAAACACTGTGCACCTGCTGCAGGTTTCTGTGGCTGCCTGCTCCTGGCAATTCAAACTGGGAACTGAGGAAGGATTCCCTCTGGGAAAAACCCCAAACAAATTGTCTTGCCCTGCTGGGCTGGCTCTGTGGCTCCCAGGGCATCTTGCAGCTGCCCCCAGCACCACTCGCTGCCAGATGCGCTGCGGGGGCTCCCAAAGGAGCCGGGACAAGCACAGTGCCATGGCTGCCTGCATCTATTTCTCCTTGCAATGTGAGTGTTTCCCCTTACAGCAGCCTCTATTGCAATAACATCAATCCCCTACCTATTTTTCTTGCAGACCAGTGTTCTCAAATGTGCAGGTATAACATTGACAATTTAAAGGTAGTGAAAACTACCCTGAGGCATATAAGGAGACCATCATTAACAGGACCAGAACCGAGACAGTCATTAGATAAAATATAGAGATACAAATAATATACTGTACTTTACCAAGCTGCCATTTTTTTGAACACATGGTCTCCATCATCCAGATGGGTAAAGCTGGTTCAAGCATAGCAATAGCCATGTTTGCAAAGCAGATTGATCCTTAGAGAAAGAAGGAGAGGAAAAAAAAAAGTAGTAGTAATTATTTCTTTTGACTATGAACAAAAAGTCCTGCAAAGAATGGATGCATCAGTTGTTGATTAATGTTAAATAGAACAGAACATAAAATCACTGAAGACTAACTTTTTTATGTATTTCTATTCTCCTAGAAATTCTACAATAAAGGTTAAGCTATTTTCATAATGTGAAAGTTTGCAGTGAGCTTGATGACATTTAGAAAGTTCATGAGGTCTGACTGTTGTACAAATGATTAGTTAAAACTACAATCTTTTGGTCTTTTTCTAGTCTCCTGGGGCAAAACTGGAGCCCCGTTGTGTAAGAGGCCCAGGCTCTGACCCCGTGCCTCCGTCACCTGAGAATGACTATGATAATATGTGAAGGTCTTGATCCTAAAAATACCAAGAGACAACCACAGAGATGTCTACCCCCTACAAAAGGGAATTTTGTGTCGAGATCCTATAGCTAGCAGCCAGTAAGTCCGTGCAGCAAAGCACGGGTCTGGCTCAGCTTGCCCAGCCCTATGAATTTCAAATGCTTCCAGATCTCTTTTGAATTTCTGGACCTTTAGTCACCCAGACGTAAAGGATAACGAGCAGTGGAAGTGCTGATTCAGGCTTGCCCGCCGGCTCGGCTCTGCCCTACGCCACCGCCTGCAGATCCAGACTCCAGCGGGTTTGTGTCAAGTTCATCTATCCTCAGTAGTGCACTTCGGCCTTCATGCAGGGATTATTAAACCCCATGGTATTTCTTTGGATTCGGGATGCCTTTCCCACTTACTCAAAAAAACCCAAGGCAAAGCCTAATGCAGGGCAACGGGAAACGTCCCGTCTGCTAATCCCTTACAAAATTACTTTCAAGGGAGTTTGGAAGTCACTAGAAGTGACAACCTCAAACTTGTGTTCCCACTTTTCTTCCTAATATTTATAATCTCTGAAATGTAGAAAAATACTGTAGACTCTTACAGTCATTTGACATCTAAATTTTACTTTTTTTTTTTTTAAAAAAAAAAAAGGCTTAATTTGTCTGAGGTCAGAGAAACATTATTTCTCCTGGAACAAGTTCCTCATCATACAGTTCAAAACCAAATGAGCACTGATGTCATTCTTTGCTCAAACCTGTCAGAATATATTAGACTCTGTATCCACAATCTAAAATGAACTTGCAAGCTAGCTGGCTCACTCCCTTCCCGGGGCAAGGAGCAACAGTTCAGCACTGCTTTCCCCTGAAGACGAAAGCTTACATCTGAAGCTAACTTTCCACTCTGCTGCAAGCTCCCGCTAGCTTGTGGTGTCTGTAAGGAGCCCCAGTTGAACCCCTTGGGGCTGCCCTCTCCTGAGCCAAAATCAGCCTTGCTCAAGCGGCTTCCTTGATGCTGGAAAGACATTTCAGGCCACACAAAGAGCAGAAGCGGGGCCATTCTAACAGAGATGGCTTAAATAGCAAAGGTCTTATTCTACTCGTAACAAACTTCACAAATAAATGAGAAACAGGAGTGCATGCATGTGCGTGTTGCATCTACTTCTTGTTAGGTCAGGAAGCACCACCAGAGCTTACTAAAATACTTGGGTACCTGGTGACAAAGGTGCTTCAGATCTTTGGGATGTACCCAAGAGACAATTGAGAGCCTGAGGTGGCACTCTGCAAACTCAGGGCAAAGTCCAGTAAAGACTGTGCTACCTTAGCAAAGCTTCCCCAAAAGAAGATAAAATATTTTTTTCCTCCATCTTGCATGGACCTTGCCTCTCTTTAGAGGGCCATGTCTCAAAGACATAAATCCTACGTTGTTTCTTGTTTAAGTTAGATTAAACATCCTCCATTGTCCAGAAGGCGTGAAATTGCAACCTTCCATCTGGATCCACAGCTAAGGACCCGCTCAGCTTTTGGCAGAGTGCCAGAGACACTGTGAAAAAGCAGGTACCCAGTGAAAAGCTGCTGCACGCTTTCTCAAGAACCCACGTGCTCATGATGATATCTGCCTGAACTCTGTTTTTTGGATCTGATAGTTTAAACTAACTTGTCTGTCAATGCAGCTTTTGTCAGCCAGTAGCACCTAACATTTCCTTAATCCCTGTCAGTGAGGTCTGGCTGTGAGAATGACATTGACTTCATTCTCTGAGCTCCTACCAGCAGTGACAAAAGCATCAGCAATATTTCTTTTGCCTGGGTCAGCGAGTACTGATGGCACTGACTTCGAAGCATTGCCTCTGACACAATCCGCATAGGGAGCAGAGTCTCTGTTTGCTCACATTTCCTTTGTCCTGCACAGATTTGCACCTGAGCTTGCCGTATCACCTGGTCCTGCCTCTCTGATGCCCACATCTTTGTGACCTCCCCACCAGGACTGGTGAGCAGCTGGTCAGCACGAACGCCCATGGCGCATCCTGCCACAGCTATTCCTCCAGGCAGCCGGGCTGGCTGGAGGGACTGCGATGCACAGCGGGCAAATAAGAGCACTGGCCTCCTGGCTGTTCTGGCTGTCAACTTTTTTAACTCATAGGCAGTATTGTGCTATACAGAAGCCAAACTGGTCAGAAGGTGCTTGTACTTTGAGAATACAAAGTCATAACTCAAGTGTATGACATATGCTCAGGAGATCAAATCTGCATTTATACCATGAAATTAGTGTACCTATATCGACAGCACAAGAAACACTTAAACTGTTAGTCCATTTGCAGCGTGCCTAAAATGGCCCTGGCTTTTCTTGTGGTTAACAAGTCAGCCCACTAGAGACACAGTCAGTTTTTTAATGAGGTCATTACCTGGCTTAAAAGCCATTCAAAACCTCTAATCTCCCTGAGCAGTGCAAACCCAAAGGGACTTTTAACCTTCTCCTCTCTAATCATTGTATCTGAACATCATACACAGCGCGAGACATTTACAGCATCCTTGTGAAGCAGAAGTCACTTTATCCTGGCTTAGATATGGAGAAATGTTGCATGACACCCTGACTGATTGCCTAAAGGTGTCGGAGCATGGAGCTAATGCTGCCATCCCAACCAACCGCTTCCCCATCAATATCAGGATCAGAAGTTCCCATCTTAGAAAACAGAGCAAGGAAAACACCAAACTCCTTGGGGTAAGGGAGAGCAAATGAAACTTTCAGACCCTTCTCACTGTAAAAAGCAACAACTTCCAAACTGAAGTGATTAACATTTAGACTGTGTATTCCTAGTGCATCAAGAAATCCCCATTTGGATTGATGTGCACCGGTAGGCCAGATAAAAGGATGAATTTATAGTTGGTATTTGGCATTCAGCTCTGAAAAAAACCAAATTTGGTCTTCAAGGGAAATAAAGCAGGGGGAGAAGAGGCTGAGGTTAGAAAACATCAGCATCCTCCGTACTGCCAAAACACTGGGCAGTCTCTGTCCTGGGAGGCAGGGACCCTGGGTGCTGTACCCAACCCTGCTGGTAACCCACCATGGGGACTTTCTCAGATTCTGGGCACTGATGCCTGGTAGGAGGGGGTCAGGTCATCCAGAGCAGCTGGGGAGAGCAGGAGGGATCAGAGCAGAGAGCGTTTCCATGTTTCTACCCCTCTGTACATCCTTCCTTTCCCTTCCTCTGGTCATGCCCAGCCACTGTGGATCAAAGATGGGAAGGGGAAACAGGAGCCACCAGCAGTGCCTGCAGGCATGTGCAGGGAAGCAAGAGGCAAAAAGAGCCAGGGCAGCAAAGGTAAATTCTCTCTGACACACACTGACCCAATTCCAGGCTACCCAGCCCTGAATCTTTTCACTGCTTTGCTGCCCTGAGACGTTTGTGCAGCCCTGCTTCACAGAGCACCGAAACGTCAGCTGAAACAGCTTCAGAGAAAGGAATAGCTGCAGAAATTAAATGCCATGCTAATGTGTTAGAAAATAGGAACAGAGTCCATCTCTGCTCTTAGCAGACATGGGACACGGTCAAAATAGTGGGATCCATGGTCTTTGGTACCTTTTCTCTTCCTTGGCTAAGACTAGTTTGACATGAGCAGCTAAGTCTTAGTCAAGCAAAGTGCTCCTTGAAATCAGTGCCCTGGTCATATTTTGTGGTTTAAACCAAGTTCTGTCACAGATGAGACCTTGGCGGGGATTACATTATTCTCCAGAAACCTACTTTATATGCTAGATGTACCTCACCTTGCAGCACCTCCTTTGAGCACTAAGAGACAAGGTACTGACTTGAATGATAAATCTGATCTCTTATGCCAGGTACTGCCTTTGCTACTCTTTTCTCTCAAATACTTTTATTCTGTGAAAAAGTCTTTTAAGGCTCCAAGAATTTCTTAAGCAAAAGTGTTTCTATAACTTTAGTCACAGCTTGACCAAGTGTCTAGCCAAAGAGTTGGAGTAATGGTCATTCCCTAAGACTACCAAGAAACAGCAATTCTTCCAGGCATTTTGCGGGTTTGCTTTCTTGGACAAGCAGGTTAGGTTTAAGGAAAAAAAACCACAAACCTGTGAAAGTTATGACTCTTTTCAGATATTTTATGAACATTAAGAAAGGCCAGGCTTAATTACAGATTTCAGAATAAACATTCAACAAAATTCAACTAAATGCAATGCAAAAAGGCCAACTTGCCTTTAGACAGAAACACTCATTAGGCAAACGATACATGCAATACCAAACACCATTCACCCCAGACCTTTTCTGAAATACAATCCATGATCTAGGGACCAAACTCACTACTCCTTCAAACCAATTTCAGTGTTGTTCCCTACCCCTGCCTGTGATGTGCTGGCGATCCCTCCCTCTGAAAGCCATGGCCCCATTCACTTGCCTCATAGAAAGTTTCATGGCCACATCTCAGTGCAGTGCAGCAATTCATTGCCTCAGCAAGCAACTGGAAGTCACTAGTGTCCTCTCAGCTGGAAAGACACCTGCATTTCAAACTTTCTACCTATTATATTTCCGCTGGTATATTCATCCTGTATAACCAACCGATTATTTTTTTTCTTTGAGCTCCATGTAAATGAAACCAGCAAATGACAATATTGTAAAGCCAGCTCAGCCCGAGGCATTCCAGGATGCCAGGTATAACACCAGTGGTTGGTTTAAAGACAAAAAACCCAAAAGGGTCTGGTACCTGCTGCAATAATGATATACGGGTCCTTCAGAAGCGTCAGTAACGGTGTCCCCTTCTGGCTCTATGAAGGAAAAGCTTGGGATTAGGAAAGGCAAAGTGTCATCCATGACCTAGAGTGTTTTACCTTAATACTTACTTCTGCCTGTACTCTGGATGGCTGCAGGACAAATAACTGAACAGCTGAAAAAAAGAAATCAATACTGTAACATTTCTTCAAGAAGGGGGTTAGATGGTAGTGATATGAAAGGGATGTGCTACATGGTGGTATCGAGTCCTCGTGTTTACTCACCTCCATCTAACAGAGCCAGTGCTGCCAGCACCAGGAAAGGAGAACTCTTCCCCACGAACTCGTACATGACGCTCCCAAAAGGTGGGCCCACTGCCAGGGAGAAAGACAGGACACAGTTGGGAAGCCACGTCTCTGACTCCAAACAAACACCCGCTGCAAGCGTTTGGGCATCCTACTATTGGCACTTGGTGACCAAAAAGCTCACTTTAAAAATCCTCACAATCCTCACACTGATCATGACGATAACCATAGTCTTCACTCCCCCAAATACTCTTCCATGTAAACAAAACCCAAACATCTCAGAGACTATTGCCTGACATATGTATCCACATTAAAAATGTGCTGCTGTGGGAAAAACTATTCTTAACATGCACCATGAATCTAATTTGGAGATGGCACAATAACATTACACGTTATGAGACTCTTCTGCTGCTCTCATAGATCACAAGTATGTGCTTTGGGAAGGCTGGGGGTGGTTTCTCTTGCCAGCAGGGCCTCCAACTTACTGACCTAATACTCCCATAGCAAGGCCTCCTAGGGCAATTCCCATTGCGTTGCCTCTCTCTTCATCATCGGTATATACACTGGCGAGCATGCCCATCCCTAAGATGGAAAAAAAAAAAAAAAAAAAAAAAAGAAAAAAGCACAACACAAAATTAGGCTTCTGTGTACTACAGTTTATGCTCATCATTTCTCAGCCATACTAAACATTATACAGGGATGACAGCAAGTATCTGTGTGTGTTTATATATATAAATTCAAATATGTATATTCCTTCCCCATAAAATCCAATTTGAAGCAAAAGGGGGTTTGGCCATGTAAATGGTCTCCAAGACCATCTTATATTGTACAGTATTACTCAGGTAATGTAATGATGCCCTGGTTTGCTAGGTTCTTTGTCCCTGTCTTTGTCACAGAGCTTTTAGATGATGCTTTTCAACTAGCAGAAACAAGGCTTTTGACAAGTATTCACTGTCTGTTATTTAGACTCTGAGCGCTTGACCCAAAGGCCTGGTCACCACTCACAGCTGTAACTGTGGTCCGTGCCAGCTGTGCTCTGGGCATGAGGCATTACGCTATTATGCAGAGCTGATTACTTTAAAAATGAGCATTTCAAGTTCAGCATCCAAAATTAAAGGATTCTTTTGACCTTATCTTCACATGCCTCACTTCTGCATTTGATGATGAACCTTCATTTCACAAAAGAAAACATGAAGCCTAATGAATTTGTATTTCTGTGAAGCACTTGGACACTGTAGATGTAAATGCTGCAGAAGAGTCCTCACAGAGATCAATAATTCTGTTTTCAAATCAAGGTTTAAGTAGGACTCAGTAAATAAGGTCCACAGCTACACAGAAAAAGAAACCAAAATATTGCGTGATTGATCATTAAGTGAATACCATCCATCATGTGCATCAAAAGAGCAGAGGTCCGATGTGGATTAACATGCTTATTGAAAGTTGTGGATGACATCAAATTGTTCGCATGAACAGTGGAAGAGCAAGTTAGAGAACGATATCAGAATTCACAATGAACCTGTGAGATTTGGGGAAATATTCTGGGGGGAAAAAAAAAAAAAAGGAGGCAATACAAAGAAGATATCACAATGTTTTACACTTAGGTAGGAATAATTACAGGCACAAATGCAGGGGGGTTAAATGGCTGATTGGCAGCAAGACTACAGAAAACTTCCTTCGCCTGTGAGATACGTGAAGTGACTCTCACTGCCATTGGCCCTCGTAAGGAGTCAGAGCTTCTTCTGAGGGCTGGGTCTGGTCCTGGTGCGGCACAGGAGGAACAGTGGGGGTGACTGGAGACCATCCAGAGAGGAGCAATGAGGGTGAGCAAAGGCTTACAAAAACATTTGGCAGGGACAACTGCAGGACTTTCAATTTAAAACCAGAGTGGAGAAAACCAATGTGAGATGTGATAATAGTCTTGCAGTATGAGAGAGAGCCACAAAGATAAAGAAAAGCAACTGTTCTCTCAAGTCTGGGAAGCAGAAATGGGTTTACATGACAGTATGGAGGCATTCAATGAGATGACAGAAAAAAACTTCCTCACAGTAAAGGTAGTTAAACACAAAGCTAGATGCTGAAGGCATTTCTGGAGGCTTCCGAGAACACTCCTGTCAAGTATGCATGAGGAATGACAGATACAAAGCTGATTCTGCCTTCAGGAAGGGGGTGGACTAGATGGTCTCTTGGCCTTTCTGCTCTATTTTGCAGATCGTCTGTGAAAAAAAGTCATGTGGCCACCTAAGAACTGTATCTCAAAGTACACGCTTGCACAGGGACTGAGGTAAAGCTGAACAATATTTTTGATTCTGGCATGAATTTCCCTTTGGAAATCTTGATTTGTAACCTTATCTTGTACAAAGAAGAAAGATGGATTTTCTTGTTACTTCCCCCCCTGCTTCTCTTTGCCTTCCCCATCCCTGGCTCCTCATCCCAGCCTGCTCCCTATCCACATCCCCACTCTTCCCACTACTCATCCAGACTTAAATCTCTCTGCTTTACTATAGTGCTTGTTGCACAGCTTCAAAACCATCTGAAGCATAAGGTGCTTCTTGCTCCTTGTTGAAAAGCTCAGTCTGGGGAGTTGCACCTCCCCAGCTTCCCCAAGCAGCTCTGCCCAGATATGGGCTGGAGCAAAATTGCTGCAAATGGAACCCAGGAGGAATCCAGCTGCCAAATTCTTGTTAAGTTTCTATGGAGTGTATGTGACCCCTGCTTATAGACTAGCCCAACTTGGAAGGGGGAATTTTCCTGAGGAAGCCAAAAGACACATTCTTGACAAAAAGCTCTCTTCACCTCCCCTCCCAAGCCAAATTTATATTTCTGCTGCCATCACAGGAAATTTTTCAGAGGAAAGATTGTGAAATGTTCTAGCATTAACGAATCATATTTTCTCCACTCTCGGTCTCAGGAATGGTTGAACAATTTGAGATTAAAACCCCCATACTCTATTTCACCTATTCATTTAAAACTTATAACCTTGTACTGGAAATCTGGTACAGGCAACCTGAGCCCAAAGTGGCAGACAGCATGGTAAGTCCCTGAAAACAACATTTTATAACAGAAATTTCAGAGCAGACAGAGCTGCTATCCCTAATATAATAAGTCCCAACATAAGTTCCTGATGACCTTTAAAATGGCTAAAAATGAATTTAAAATGTTGAAGAGGCACATGGAGAAATCCCAGAGAGAGTGCAGTTCATTTAGTGCTCTGCCGTACCGCAACCCAAATACCAAGGAAGTCTGAAAAGACATTTGCTTTTGAGCTACTTTATACGAAAGGGACAGGAAAAAAAAAAAGTGAAATTGATTTAATTTAATATTTTTTGTATTAATTACTGAAACTACAGACAAAATACAGTTTAGGAAGCTACTAAAAATGACAGAGTCAGTGATCCGTATTTTACTCTATCATCTCTTCTCTTACCTGCCACAGAAGAGCAAGAGGAACCCACTCCTTGAAGGGACCTGGCAATAAACAGTAATGTGTAGCTTCCTGAGAAGGCAAACACTACAGAAAAAACAGAGGTAAATTTTTAAAATTAGGTTAACCCTAACTAGGTTAAAAAGTTAGATTTCTTGAAACAATCGCAAAAACTTCACGCAATTTAGTCAAGTGTTTACAGCAACTTGTGCCACTTTCAATGCTAACTGCATTACTTCCCCTTATTGCATTTAGATGTGTCAGTGTTGAATTGCTCCCAGGTGTCTAAGCCTCCTGGTAACACCGAATGCAAGCGCACAAGCAGTTTTAACTAATTACTTAGGATTTGATTACATCCTGCTCTGATTCAGCAGCACACAGAAGGAGTAATAAGACCTCTTTCCAGCCTTGCCTCCCCACGCTGCTTCATTTCAGGCCGCCCGGTCTGAAGCTCCAGGCGTTTTCCCACGGAAAGTGGGATTTAACACACGCGCACCCACATGCAATGCATGCACCAATGTTTCCTCCAGTAAGCAAATGGGTGGAGAGAGGTTTTACCCCGGTGTTGCCAGCCCTGCAATAGGCGTTGTGCAGCACAGCTGGCTGAAGGTGCAGGGAAGGCAGCTCCACCTGGGGCTGTAGGATTCCTCCCAACAGCAGCCCACCAGAGACACTGGACCAGGGGAGGTGCCTCTCTCTCCCCAAGAGATTTTACCCCAGCTCCACTCTGCCTTTTGGTACAGAGCCCCTGGATGCTGCACTGATCAGCCCAGCTAAATTCCCCATCCACAACACTGGAAAGTAGGAGTGTCCCAGAAACCCAAGCACAGCTCTGCTTGTAGAGCCTGTGTCATGGTCGGTGTCAATAAATCTACAGTGAGTTTTTAAAAATGTTTTTCAGCTCCTATCTGTTGGCCACCTAAGGAATTTTGCCAGACAGGTTATAGCTGGGGGAAGCTGTTATGCACCAGCTGAACCTGAGATCCACGTGCAATCCCACCCGTCCTGCTGCACTGTGCCTCTCAGGATTTTCACCAGGTCTTACAAAAATCCCTACCCTCGTGGACAAAAAAATCAAGAAAAATAAAGGAAAGAAGGATGTCAGTGCATCAGTAGTACTCCCCTCTGCCATGAATTAGGCTCACTACTCTTATCTCCGTCCCAACCAAAATTTGTCTAATGTGTTCCTAAAATGCAGAGTTATCAGTGACTCTAAGACCAGGTAATCTTCTCCAGCACTTCAGTCCCCTTGATGATACAGTGTTAAGCTCATTATTCCTTCTCTTATGTACAGTGGACATGGAAAACTGTTTGTTCCCTTCCTTTTTGTCACAGACTCCGATACACCTTACAACTGCCTTCTGAGGCAAACCTGGTTCTTTCACCATTCCTCACAGGCTTCTAATGATCCTTGATATTCTCCTCTGTACTCTTTCCATCTGGGCCACAACTTTCAGTGCCATGCCAAAACCGAACATAAAACACCAGCTGAGGCCTTATCAGTGCCATTTAGAGCAAATTATCTCAGCTGACTTGCAGGCTATGCTCCTGTTTGCACATCCCACAGTGATGTTTAGCAACGCTATGATACTGTTGACTCATAGTCTACTCATGAGCCACTGCAGCCTCATGATCCTTTTGATAAGCCCCTACGATAGCTAGTTGTTAAGGACCCTGCAAGATAGCCCTCGTGGCTGACAGCCCTCCTATGGCTATCTGTTTAAAACTGTCGGAGCACCATTTCATATTACAAGAACCTGAGAGAAAGATGCAGCTAAGGAAGAGACCTGTCAGGGTGGGATGGAAGGTGATGAATTCCTTAGAGCATGTTCGTAAGAGCTTATTTGTCAAATCTCATCAGCACCACCATCCACATGGAACAGCCACCCTTAAATTTTCTTTGGAAATCAGTCCCTCTATATCAACAAGAAGAATTCCTAGTGATAATTATTATAGATCATTTATTTAAAAGTTCTGGGCCAGACCAAATAAGATGCAGACACTTACTGATTGTTGACACAAACATGATGCAGAAGCCAGCAAACAGTGGAATCTGGTAGCCTATTCTGGAAAACAAAATGAACATTCACATTTCTGGGATTGCCTCACGGACATTTTGAGTTAGGCTTACTCACATGAGAGCACACACCACAAAAAAATGACCTGTAGTTCCTTGGTAGGCTTCAAACCATTTATTGTGAATCACATGATCAAATTTGTCTGTGTTACAAATGCCTTTTCATCTGGCACAGCAGATTTTGTATCTGAAATCCCTGAAAGAAATCCTTCTCTCATTAGAATCAGATTGCCCTGTTCTCGTTCTGCCATAACTGTTCCAAATAAAGCTCTTCTGGGCCTCCATGGGGTTGCCAAGGATATGAAAAGGGAAGATTTTGTCTGAGCATGCTGAACTTTGAAATATCCCAGTAGTGTTTCAATGTTCATCTCTTTCCATCCTCATGAGACAACAATTATAATGAGACACAGTCAAACCAATAGCGCTTTTACTGGAAAAATTTGTCATCAGCTTTGTTGGGAGTTCTGCCTCAGTCAGGAGCACTGGAAGAGTCCCAAAGAGCTTGAGGATAATATTTTTGGTTTCCATGGGTTTAGCAGCAAAAATGGAGCTGATCAAAGCTTTCTTCATCAGCCCACTTATTCATTAGGACTCTAAACAGCCTGTAGAAATGCCTGGTTGCTGTAAGTATTTTCAAGTTTCCAGAAAATAAAGAATTTTCTGTCTGGAAAGCAAATACATTTTTTGAGCAGCTAGAACTGAAATTTCAACAAAAAATTCACAACATACTATTTTTCATGCCATTAAAAACCTACCCTAGGATCAAACCCACTACCCAGGTAGCTCTGAAGACAGTCTGTATATTCTATTCAGCACACTTTATTCACAGCTTCTTTTTTGTAGGATTTCGCATCTCAAATGTATTTGCAAAGACATTATTGAATGGCCAAATTCTTCAAGAGTGGATGATGGTTTTCAAAGGAGTACAGATTGACTTTGACTTCCAATGATCTGACAGTACTGGGCATTCATGTGGGCAGTATTGGCTGAAGTAAATTAATCAATTAATGGAAGAGTTTATAATGGTCATTTTAAGTTTTAGTAATAGCAGTTGCGACATAGGTAAACCAGAATCATTATTCTGAGCTTGGGTTTCTTGTTAATATAATTTTTATACAATTAAGGACCTTAAATAATGGAAAACTCTCTGAAGTGCAGGGCTTGATCTTCATTATATGTCTGATTGTAACATTTGTTTGAGTTTTGTGAATGAAAGAAAGTTAGCATGCACATTTCTACACACCACAGAAATCTCTAGTGAGGAACAGTTTTGCCTTAAATATCATCACTACATTAAAATATGACAAAAATGTAGCATAGTATTCTTCCAGTTGAAATTTGTAAGTGGATGTTACAAGTATCCAGCAGAGACTCGTTACTCGTGTGGTTCTTAACTGGACTGGTATCTCCAAAGCAAATTAAATCCCTGGCACTATCACAGATTTCCTCTCTGGCCTTATGGTAATCATTTTAATCTCTCAGCACCTTGATACCTGGCCTGTAAGAGAATAATACTACCTTGTTTTGTCTGCTTTATTTACAGCGGATGATTTTTCTAAGCCTGCCTCTTCTCTTGCTGTGTGTATAGTAGGTATTACACAATGGGGTGCTAATCTCCACTGATGTTTCTATGTACATGAGGAAATAAATTACCTGTTACCAACTTCTTGCCTGCCTCAGAGATTAAGTGGGCACTTCCCTTCCCAGAGGGCTCAGGTAGAACAGGCCACAGAGAGTTTGACAATAATTGCTTTGATTTTGAATTTTACAATTAAAGAAAGCGCTGATAGAAGTACATGTAACACCCCCCTCCCCCCCCAAAAAAAACCCAAACCCCCCCAAAAAACTGCTGCAGGTATGGCCACTGCTGTTGGTGAGTGATATCATCTTTCTCTGTGGCATGAAAGCAAAAGTTGAATGTCCTTACGCCTTCTTCCATTGCAAAGTAAAGTAGGGTTGTGTTTGTCAAGGCCATCCCAGAGGTATCTAGGATGGACACTGTGGAGAAGTCTGATTTCAGTACAGAAATCAAGCAATTCTTAGACTTGACACAGGGGCCATGAGACAGCAATTAGCTTCTGCTGCAAGTACACCGAATTAAAATTAAGTTATGTATATGAAGACAACTGCCATCCAAATTGGCTCCCACATTCACATTTCCATCACTAGATCAGAGACGTGAGCTGTGAGATCTTCCATAAACATTAATGAGTTAATGTTTAATAAAGAGAAGGGCTATCATACCAGTTCTAAATGATACTCTATCAAGCTAAAGCAGACCTCAATTCTTCCAACAGGTTTCCTACACTTGGACAGTTTCTAGTGGTGGAAGGCTGTAAGAAAACAAGTAATTTGGAAGTCACTTTTAATGCCCAGTGAAATACCAGTCAAGCATTGTTCTTAATTTTTGCAGTCACAGATACTATTCTTTCTTTGTCTTGGACAAACAGGGTCACAGCAAGGTGTGAAGCGATACATCGCGGAGGGAGATGAGGGCAGAACTGGAGCAGAACTCGGTCCTACTCTTGCTACCCAGCAGGCCAGGACACTTTGTCACACCTACAGAGGTCCAACACATACTTTTTCCTCCAGACAAAAATTAATCATTTCAGAACTAGACTCTGTGTGGGCACAGCTACTCATTTCAGCCAAAGTCTTCATTGCCAGTGATCCATCAGACAAGGTAATGCAGAGATATACGGGTCAGCACAGGACATGCATTTGTGCTGAATTAAACAAGTCATTAGAATCCTCTGGAAAGCTAAAAATTGCCTGAAGCTTCACCCATGATTTGGAGATGCACGATTCTGGTGCGCTGCCCCTGCCTGAGACTGCTGCACCTCTAGAAGTCGTGGTTGCTCAGGGGATGTCTTACCCACATGCAGCTGACATTTAGTTAGATATGCAGATTGTCCATTCCTGCATAATCTTAGCAAACCCTGCCTCCTCCTGAAATAGCAGCGCTAATTAGTTGGCAGTTGTGCTACCAAAAATGTCTAATCTGCAGCTGCATTCCCGGATCCGTCCAACAGATATTAGAGAACACAGACTGGAATTTTGCTGAACAATTAGACTTTATAACATAAATAATTGCAAAAAGGAGAAGCACTACCTGTAACAGCCAACTGTTCAGTGATTCTGTTCCTTGGTCCTGGCCCATTCATGTTCCTGCCATGTGAAACCTGTGAGGATGCAGTTCCTACTTCTCAGCCGTGACATGGCATACTCCATCACAGTTATCTCTACATTTTGTTCCTCTGCATGTGTGCATCACAAAAGAATATTACAACCTGTCTTCTCTCTTCTTTTTTCTTGTTACCATGTTCAAGCCTGTAATTTTCTCGGGTACTCCTTTCAAAAGCCTCCAAGAGAATCTGAAGCAGAGTCCAGCATGTTTCTCCAAGGTTACCTGCAGCTAGAAGTGCTTCCTACAAGTATTTCTGACCTCTGAAAAAGCTGGAGTCATTAGTTGAAGGAGGGAGAGGAAAGGCTGCCATTGCTGGAGAACGCCTAAAATACTCCGTTTCAGTCACGTTGTCCCCAGATTGCAGGACTGTTTGGAAGCGGATTATACCCACTAACAAGGTTACCCTACAATAAGACAACCAAGTGATGGGCCCTGTGCAGCAGTAAAATAAAGGTTACACTGACCAGGTTAGCAGCTGTGGATGATTAGAGCCTAATTATCCATCCATTACAGCACTGCAAATCCACTGATTTCAACCTTGTTGTTATACAGCTACACTGGTACCACTCGAAGCACCCCTTGTTAAGCCTGTCCTGCGTGGCAGTCTGGCTGTCTTCGTCACTGCCAGTGAAGACTGGGGAGGATGCATGGCAATAGTATTGTCCTCAAGGTTATGAACTGCTGAATGTGTGTGAAGGTAAGAAAGAACATGCAGGGTCAGTAGGGACAGGAGTGTGGTCCATGCACTCCCCACCTCCATGCTCCATGCCCAGGGTAGGCAGAGGGACTTTGCCCAACCTGCAGAGCTGGTCACTTCAATCACCTGCCAAAATCTGAAGGGAAAGCTTACGTAGGAACTGAACTGTAACTAAGTAGTTCCAAATGCTATTTATTTCTCTGCCTCATTCTTTGCAGGTGTCTTGGTCATGAACATATCATGGTCCTAGCCACTCTCTCTCTCACGCAAATAAATTCAAAGCTGTTCTTAGGGCAGTGTAAAAATGATAATGAAAATACCTGTTCATTTTGTAATGATTTTTGAGGCCAATATGGATAAGCACAAGGTTAAAACCATGTGGTTTTTCAGACTGATAAGTAAAGGGCGAGATCAGACGTGGCAGAGGAGACATTCAGTGGCTCTAGCGGGCTGTGGGGCTAGCACAGCTGGGCTCGCAGCCTCATGCACAGAGCTCAGTAAGAGCCTGAAAAGTAAGGGAGCAAATCAGTTGGTTACAGGGAGCCCAGCAGTGTTTTGCCCATTTTCTTCACTGGAAAGGATTAGGCAGAGCCTTCAGCCTCCCCTTGCCAGTGCATCACCCTCACAGAGGGCCCTGTATCAAGTGCTGTGCTAGTCGTATAGTTTCTTACCAATTTCACTACAAGGCAAAACATCACGTGCATCTGAGCCACAGAAAAAGGTGAAAAAGAGCCTACAAAACTTCCAGAAAAATTAAAATAAAGAAATTATTGGCACAGACTCATATGAATAGGACATCCTGTTGCATCCTGTACAAACTCAAGCACTCAAAGCCAGTGCCTACTGAAAGCCAGTAACTCCGTACTCAACTAAAAATCTACACCACTCTTGAACAATGTTTGATTGAAAAATAAACCCCATGAACCCAGTGTGCTACCTGTTTGAAAAAGAAACTTACTGGGCATCGTAACAAACTGTGCACACTAATCTTGAAGGAAGCAACCAACTCTCCTTAAGCTGTGATATTTTGCTGAAATTTTGCAAAAGTAGTAACGGCAACAACAATTACCACTAAACAGCTTATCAGTGGCAAGGAAGAGTCTTCATAATGATAACTCAGATATTTTCTGTTTCATTTGCAATAATCACAGTTTCCACACTGCGTTTTAACAGATTGTATACGTTGTTATTAGGAAATGTCAGCTATAGGGGGTTTTTTGCCAATGACTTCTACAGTTAATCGATAAATGTGTTAACTGATATTTCCCACTAAACAGTTCTCAGAAGAAAGGCAGATACTGGTTCCAAGATACAAATAATGCACGAAAGAAACCCAGTGATCCTTAAATCTAATTTAGGGCCACTTTGCCACTAAGACTCTCATTTCTGCTGTATGAGAGAAGAGTCTGTCGCACGGGGCACTGGGAAGATGTGCTCCTTGGTTTTAATTCTTGCACTTGTTGGGCATCTGAGCGTGCAAACCTGCCCCTGTCATTGCAATCACAGGCTCAGCCCTGCACAAAAAAAAACCTGTAGGAGGTTTCCAGGAGGAAATCTCAGCTCACGGCACTAATGTTCACACTGGTGTGTTACTGCCCTGCTCCTAACAGCAGCAAAGGGAGGTGCTACAAGAACATCCACTGCCCCACTGACAAACCTAAGGATGTATCACCCACATCCTGGCAGCCGGCTCCAGGGGCGAGGTGTTACCCCATGCCTTGGCACAGGCAACGTGAGCTCCTGAGATGCACAGGCACACAGAGAAGCATCCTCAGGGACATGAACCCCCTTACTTAGGCAGATGTCTACCAAAGAAAGAGCAGAGTTCGTATCTACAGTATGAACTGTAGATTCATCAACAACATGGAGCCTACTATTGCCTTTCTCCTGGCAAAGAAAGAGCAGAGTTCGTATCTACAGTATGACGTAATTGCGCTATTGCAAAAGTCATCAACAACATGGAGCCTACTATTGCCCTTCTCCTGATTTGGCAGGTTGTGGAAATGATGATATTAACAGAGAAAAATAACCATCAATGGGGCAATAATTTAGACATTTAGGAAAATCTAGAAGAATACCTAAAGAGCTGTTAGAAAATATTATTTGATGCTATGCTACTTTGCCTGTGGATGAGCTGTCATATCCTCACAAAACAATACAGAAAATCAAGGTAACAAAAATCTGTTTTCCTCTTCAACTTGCAGCAATATTTGTGGAAAAGTAATTTTGCAGTAGTGTACTTAGACCTGTGTAGGTGGTACGCAGTAGGAGATAAGGCAAAATGAGAGAGAAATGAAACTGTCTACCTCATTTAAAGCTTTTGTGTTTAGATCAGGTCCACAGATTGAATACAGGTTCTGAATTCGTAACACTATGAGTCAAACTGCTGCTTAGCCCGCAGCTGGATACTCTTCTATCAGACTGAAATTAAACACTCAGACAATATACATATATAAGCTACAAAACCTAAGAAAGGTAGTTTTGACATCAAACCCCAAAATATGTAGCCTTAAAGTGTGGTGGTTGCTTTGGGTATTGTCACATACGATAGGTGTTGACTGCTTAAACAAATGTGTTTTACAAGGACAAACTTCTGCTGCACTTTATTTTCTGAAAGGAAAAATTCTTCTTTATAAAAGCAGCTTAAGTAAGAAATATGAAAATTAGTGACCGGCCTAAATATAATTTGGAGTTTCCTGCAGAGATTGATCTCACATTCTCTTTAGGAGGAGTGACTGCAGCTGCTTCTGTGGGGAACTGTTACACAAAATGCTAACAATAAAATAAAATTATTAACATAAAAAACTGAAATGAAATTATAAATGCTTTTTAATCTCCATGTAAACATCATTAGTGCTCAGATTTTGGGGGGGTGGTTTGTAAGTCATTGATATCGGTGCTTATACCCTTGATCTTGGCTCAGATAGATTTTCTGTAAAGTACCTTTCAAACATATTTTGTTCAAGACATCACAGATGTACAAGAATTCAGAAAGAACAGTGTGAAGGCTGGGCTAGGTCATGTACCGATGGAAATCTGATCCACTGAATTCAGCGATGAACATGGCATCAGCAACGTTTGACACTCGTTCATTTTTCACTGAAGTCCACACGAGTTTCCCACTGATTCTTACCTCAGATGACTCCAAACCAATGAACACCCAATTGCACCAAGAGCTGCGCATCCCTGTGAGAGCAAGGGAGGGATCTGAACCCTGCCTACAGTTTCAGTATCAGGTTTGCCTAATGTAGGTGGTAACAGATGTATCATCAATTCACAGCGCTTCATAAACACCACGCTGTAGTGCCTTTTGGCCCCATATAACCATATTGAAGATGTTTCAACACCATTGCAGCAGAAGTTTCTATAAAAACCTGAGGTCTCAGGACCTGGAGGAAAAATGTATGACACTGAACGTATCAGATGGCTCACGTGCAGCTTACCATTTACTTTGGAAAGGATGTGGGTGGTTAGAAGTGTTCACCAAACGTATTTCACTAAAATATTCCTCTGGATAAAGTGAGAAGGCCAGTAAGCCAGGGCCACAAAAGAATTAAAAATACTTTGTTTGAAATACCAGTCCGGACTAAAGCATCAGTATAATGTCCTACGTGAGTGACGTAGCAGAAATAACATACCTGTTTGTCAGCGGCCCTATGAAGGGGTTGGTGATGAGCTGCACTGTTGCTTTTGAAGCAAACAAGAGGCCGACTTGAACATTTTCATTCAGCAGGTCCTTATCTTCCTTAGGGCAGTCAGACGGGGAAGGAGTTGCATTTACTATCATTTGTTCTGTCTGAGTATGATGCAACTCTCTGGGTCCTGTCTTATCAGACTCGTTTCCAGTAACCATCGTTGAATTGTCGTAGTAGGAGAAGATGCTCTGAAAATTGTCCGTTGTTGTTGAGACTACCTTAGGCTTAGCAGTCTGGATTTCTGTGGCATTTTTCTCATGTTTGATGCTGTAAAGGTAACTGGGAATTATTGGCACTGGAAAAACAAATAGAATATATTGGCATCTTACTATCAGGTTATTTGTAAATGGAATCACCACATTTTCTTGTTTGCTTTGCCACTGATTAGGAAACACAGGGCTTTCCTACAGAGCACATGAGTAAGGATTTTGAATGGTGGAAACACAGAACTGAAATGGAAGTTTGCTCATGGGAAAAAAACACACCCGTAACTCAGCAGTGCAGTTTAAAACAAGAAGTTCTTTTAAATTAGTCTTTATTTTTTGCCAGTTTTCATAAATATAAGTTTTTTCTATACAGACATCATTCAGAAAGCAAAATGAGAGTATCAAACCCCATGTCTGAAGAGTCTCTTTGTTGCACATGGCTGCATGAATCTATTCATTAGATTGTGAAAACATGAAAGGTGAGAAAAGCAACTGTTATTAAAACAAAATATAAAAAATGTAATAAACACATTTCTAAAATAAACCACAAAAATATTGACAAGTAACAGCCATAAGAAGGAAAAAAACGTAACACTTAATATAGATTAAGAAATCAGAACTAATGTGTTGGTGTTTGCATATCTCATTATTTTTTAAAGATTTACATTGAAAAGATCATCCAGAAGGGTTCTTCTTCACATGCATTAGGATCTTAGCTGCAATTTAATTGTATTAATATGTGCCTTAGAAATTAGCATTTTGGAATTTGTAAAAACAGATGTCAGGTTCATTCAGTTTAACACTAGTGACGGAATCACCCCTCCTTGTCTTGCATCTCTTCCCAAAAAAGCCCACTTTCAGTAAGTCTGCAAACTGTAATACTTTCTAGGGCTTCTAGCATACATATTACTGAACAAGAAATTAAATGTTAGTAACTTTATAAGAAAGTATATTCCTGCAAAAAAAATCCAAAATGGACTTGCTAAAACTATATATATATTTAGCTAAGGTCCACGTTGTGGCAACAGCTTTTAAGCTGCAGTTCCCCAAGAAATTCAGGAGCCTGGTTCAGGAGCTGACACTGCAGCATCGTCCGAGCGCCGGCTCTGCACAGCCCCATTCGCTTCCGAGAGAAGCATTCGTGTGTGTGTGTGCGCATCCGTGAACCACTAGTTCCTCTGAACACTTTTCTTTAAATTTATGTAAACACTTGAATATGAGGACTTCTGAAACTACTAGTGAAAAATGTTCAAGCATTTTATTCAAGCAAATTCCTAAATCTTGACACTATGCCACTGAAGCCAGTAAAAGTTGCATCTTCGACTTTGATCAAAACTTGGATTATTTTATTAAACCAGGGGGGGGGGGGGGGAAGAGGAGCTATCACAAGGAAACAGGCATCTCCAATGTTATCTAGCCTGTTGTTTCAGTTGCATGACCACAGAAGAAAAAAAGATGCTGAGCTAAAAATACTGTTATCTGTTGTTCTGTGAAGTATTAGTGGTGTTTAGTAGAAAAAAGGAATTATGAAGACCTTTTTATACCATTCTTTATCCTGCAATTAACAGAAATAAAGTGAGGCTTTGATGCGTACGACAGTGTGTTTGCAATACCTAGAATATCATTCATGTTTAAATTAAAAAAAAAATCAGTGCTTGAAAACCTTTGGTTCGAGCGCATTAATCGTGCAGCCAGGGAATACATCTGTCACCGGAGATTATTTCTGGCATAAATCGGAAGGGGGAAAAGAAAACCCAAACCCGTTCTACCTACCGACCACCGTCAGCAGCATGTTGTCCAGGAGCAAGGCGATGAACACGATCAGCAGGATCAGTTTCCGGGACTGCCGGCTCTCCCGGAGCCAGCGGAGGAGGCTGAGCTCGCC